TCTGAAATTAGAAAGAGAGACAACATTAAAGTCACTGTATTTTAGAATCTTACAGAATGTGACCGTGTTACCAAGTAACATGTAATATCCCTTCATCCTGAAGTTCCGGCCAGAAAAGAAGGGTATGATCCATATTTAGTTCAATCTATTATTTTGTGAAATAACAAAAATATGTAACATTACGTTTTCCAACACAAATTAAGCTCCTCGCCCACTAGAGCAGTATGGTTAGCAGAACAGTGCAGTGCCGTTGTAGTATGTCTGCAGCGAGTGCGCCCACTGCAGGCATGTAGCGTCAGAGACAGGACCGAAAGCATTCCCCCCACCAAAGTTGTTACCCACTACATTTACCCCTCCAAGTTGAACCAAGTCCGCTTTTGTGCAGTCTTGCACTCCATGTTGTACAGAATATTGCAATGACCGACTCGTCTTCAGAAGAAGAAACGATTTGTGTAGCTATGATGCTACAAGAGGATCAGCCAAAGCAAATTTGGGTGCACGATACTGACAAGAAAAGAAACAAATTCGAAGAGTTCCACACGATATTTCACGACCTAACTGAAGACGATAAAAAGTTTTTTATCTACTTTCGCATGAGCTATGCCAAATTTTGTGGGCTATTATTAGCAACAGAGCCACGCATAGAGAAGAAGCACATGAATTTTAGAGAGGCCATAACCCCAAGAGAACCTTAAGGTAACTCTAGTTCTCACACTTATTTTCTAAATGACAAAACCATTGAAGTTTTTATATTGCCAGATAGTTGATTTTATATTATTAGTATTTACAGTCGTATTAAGTAAGGTGACACAAAACAAACCATCGCTCCTTTACATAGAACAATAATTGATTGAAATTAAATTACATGAAAAAATGAAACATCTGTGAACAATGATAATAAGTACTATATCTGATTGTGCGGCATAACAGACATTAAATGTGTAATGGAGACAGGAGTGGTTCATTTTTGGTTTCATTGCATGGGGGAGTGGATGTATAGATCCACATTTTCTTGACCCTACTGGGACTCGAACTCTGACCCCTTGGTCGTCCAGCCCGTAGGCAGTCGCTATACCTACTATGCTACTGGGGCTCACGTGCATGGGAAGCCTACTGTAGACCGTGGGTTAAAACATTATATAAGCAATTTGTTTTCATTCATGTATTGCATAATAATTATTAGTCTGCCTGATCCGTTCAGCATTTCGCCAATCTCCATCCAAGCGTTTTCTCTTCTCATGCTGTCATAATAGTAGGCATGACTGCAGTCGTAGAGGATATTGTACTCTTGTACAGTGGAGATTAATCTTTCCTCAAACGCCATGTCTTGCCTCATTGACACTCAACCCAGGAATGACAAAGCGTTTTGGTATGTGTGAAGGGGGATGCGGCGTGCCGCCATGACACTGCCGTGCAGAATGTTTGCCTCTTCGAGCAACGGAGACGATACTATACTATACTACACTGGCACGACCCTACTCTAGTGGGCGCACTTCCATTTAAATACACGGAGAACAGTGTGTCTGCAGCGTTCGCTCTGCACTGCACGGATACGACACTGTTCTAGTGGGCGAGGACCTTTACTCATACAGCCAACAACCAGAAATGGGCATGCTACAGCACATTAAAGTCGTAGGGATTGAAATGATTAACACAAAATATTTTAATAAAAGTACAATGGGACAGTAATAATTTTGAGGCATGTTTCTTCTTAATTCATGCAACCTATCTGCAAAATGAACCATTCTGCCACATTCTATGCCTACACAACGAACTATATGAAGTACAAAGTATTTACACACTCAAATGTCACAATATGTTGGCTAGTTACAAACTGTCACATACAGAATAGGAGAAAAGGAAGTCAAAACAACAAGTATATATCAAAATGTTCTACTGAAAGCATCTGAGGTGGAAGACAATAATCTCACCACCCATGATAGGGTAATCATGATAGTGCTGGTCAGCAGAGGGACTCTACAATTTAACATGGGCTCTAACCCAATAACTCTGGTAGATGTGAAGGCATCATCTGTGAGCAGAAAAATCTGTACACAGATGCGAGTGGGGATCGAACTCAGAACCTTCTGAACGGGTATAACAGCTTACCCAAGGACCTTTTTCTTAAGGACCTAATTTAAGTGGCTCTAGTGTTGCTCCCAACTCAGCCACCACGTTAATATGGCTGATGGTAGACAACTGAAAGAACATGTGAGTGGCATGATGACAATACAGAGTTTCATATAAAGCCATAAGTTGGTTCACACATTACAGTGAGGATGGCACACATGGATGATAAACAAAGCACTCCCATAATCTTGTCTGTTTTCGCTGAAAAGTCACTTCCTCCTTGTAATTTTTCCTTAAAATGGCAATTACTGTGGAAACTTTCTCTGCTCTAAATAATGTACTACCATTGGACAGGCTACCTTCCACAGTGTGACCTATCTTAAAAACAGATATGCTGTTAGCTGTGCTAACCTGAAAGCCTCCTTTGCCTTAAGCACATGTCCATCATCATCATCATCATCATCATCTGTGTAGTCGATTTTAAGAACTGATCTGTAGCCCTCCTCCTCCTCTTCGAAGTCTGAGGTCAGACCACTGCAGCTCGCGATGCCCAAATTTTTCATCATCTCTGAAAAAGATAAAGCAATGCTGTATATTAAATTCTTTAATTAGTCTTGCTTGCTTACTTCGTCCTGTCTTGACCATCATGTACACCTTCCTAATACTTGAGTGGGTCAATCCTGAGAGACGAGACTTGCAATCCAGTTATTGAGGAGATGACAAAGTATTCAAAGCTCAGATATTCTTTACCCTTCAAAATCTCCTACTCTACTCCATAAACAAAGCAAGTGGCCGATCCTTGTGCCCATGACAACTCTCTTCCCTAAGGCCTGCTGCAGAGAAGACTTGACAGATACAGGACAACTTAGGTGACTTAGTCTGCAGCCACCTGCTCGCGCTGGTTCCTCACTTGCGGATTTTTATACCCTGAAGATGGAGGCGATAGATTCCTCCAAAACATAGGTTTACACAATATCTACATAGCCCCACATCCAAGAAGATGGCATTATCCATGAATGACATTCATTATATACCAAGACTCTATACAGTACTAATATTAAACAGTAATGATTAATGTGCTTGTATTAAAACCCCTAACAAAACTGCAGTATAAGATTAAATATGGCACACCATTTCTAAAATCCTTAAAATATAAATGTACAATTAAAACCAATACTAAAGTGTCAATATCTCTCAATTTGAATAGGCCTATGTTGTACATAAGGAATCTGCTAGTGACTCACCAATCCCAACTTCATTCCAAGCTCCACGTTTGCCTTCTTCTTCCTGACGTTTCTTCTCTTCAATCATTTCCCTCTCAAAGTCCTGTAACGTAAATTTTGTATGACATTAGCAGAACGCAAATTCGCAGTTCAAAATTACCTTGAGATAGAGTGAAATCTGAACTGCTTACCCACCAACCACTGTATACAAAATTACTGCACTCTAAAGTACTGACTACACTGTGTAGGATTGAGTTTCTGACAGCAGTGGTTTTGAAGAGTTCTGTCATATGGGATATAATGTCGTGTAGTCTGTCGAAAGTCAACAGACATTTTGCAGAAACATGTCGCCTCCATCTACAGGGTCGAAGAATAAATCAAGCAAGAAACCAGCATTGGCAGGTAACAAAGCCAGCTTTGTGCTGGCTTCTTGTTTTGTTTATTCTTTGATTCTGTCAGGTGACATGTTCCCCTGGAAATTCGGATGATACCCCAGAAGACAGAACTCTTCTGACTATACTGATCATCTTGAAATGTCTTTGCCAAAATATATCATTGTAATATCACAGTATGTTTTAAAGTTACAGTTCTATTAGAAACATACTCTCATTCTGCCAAGCAATGTACACATGCCAAACTAATTCTGAATTTGCAGTAAAAATACTGTGACAATTAACATTATGAAAACATAATTCACTTTGCAATGAATAAAATTAAAAGAACTTCTTGATTTTTCATTTAGTCATGTTCTGAGTTATTTATTCATCCCTATTTCAATCTCACATATAATTCCTAGTAGTATGTTTCCTACCCTTGTATCATGCACATGGCACAAGGAGAAAAAAAGAAATAAAAGATAAAAATAAAAAGGTTGGATTTGAGATTCTTACAGAGGAGATTAAGAAAGGCACTATCTTCTGGGAAGTAACACCCTGTAAGTCCACTGACATTCCTTCAAAAGCTTATGGACTTTATCACATTATACGGCACTTTATTCCAGAAGGTACCACTTGTCAAGAAGAAAAAGAAAAAAAGGTTCTACCATTTCAATTTTCACATTCTTATTGTACAATGAGTGCTTTCATTTCCAGAACCTTCGGTTGGATGTTTCCAGTTCTGTACTCAGTTCAGTAATTTATATATCTATTATCACAGAATTCAACTGTAATTAAAATATTTTCAAATTCTGTTGCAGCTGCAGTAAATAAGTGTAGAAGGGCAATGGACTGTATCCAGTGTTGACACATGCTAAACCAAAGTGCCTTGCCAAGTGTACATTTATCTGCGGATCACCAGTAGTTCCTGACCGTCCTCATCCCTGTTGCCAGCCAGACCATAAATGGGGATGTCACCCAATGTACGGCAGAATTCTGCTGTAGCATTCAGCACAATGGAACCATCTTCCGTGTTTCCTTCTGACTTTCTCTCCAGTACTGACTCTGCCACCTACAAACATCACAAATCACAAACAATTAAATTATGTAGCTATACAGCATTCTGTTTTGTAGTATCCATAAATGCAAAGCTGTCCTTATGCTTAATTAGTTCTGCACTAGATGCAGGTGAGTGGCCAGCTCCATGCCACTCCCAAACCCGGGGAAACAGCCCCTGGTACCTATTTTGCAGAAGGCCATAACAGGTCTCAATAACCAAAATACAAGAAATGATGACAGTATAAAGAAAGATAAAGATATCACTGCCACAGTCCATTGAGGCCCATAGGGCTGTGAGACGTCAAGGCTCACACATGTTCTAGACAATCAGCGCACAGGTGGCAGTGAGGTTGTCAGCTTTACGCGCCGGCCGCACGTTTCCCACAGGATGATCCGTGGTACTCATTTCTGTTAGAAGCTGAGTCGATCCCAGGGCGATAGTGTGGCTGGAAGGATTCGGCCAGTTTAAAAATCCAATTACCTCAGTGGGAATCCAACCCGTGAGCTTCCAGTTTGTAGCATTGTAAGAATGATGATATGTCTTAAATGTGAAGATATGATTTACTGGTTTGAGGCCCACCACAACAAACTGTAAGAGAAACAATTTAATAGCCCTCAGGTTAAATTGCAATATAGTTTCTCTATGGTACAATGGTTTTGTACAGTAACCAAGGAGGAAACATCATAATGAACTTTAGTACAAAGTTCTGTGCAACATTTTATAACTGGAACATATGGAGACACTGTGCAGGAACTAAACATGGCACAGGATTCTGTAGCCAAACATTTGTGAGAAGGGTTAAAAAGGAAACCTACCGATGTGATGTACCTTTTCTACATTGTTATTTGATTCTGTAACAGCCTCCTGCAGCTTCAGTCTCCCTGCTTTTTTTGAGGGCTATCTGTAGCTCCAGTTTGCTGTCATCAGGCTCAATCTTGATGTTGGACAGTATCTCTTCTGGCGCTGAAAGTTGTGTCTGATTAATAACAACATTCAAAACTGCTCTGGCACCACATTTCCTTTCATGATTTCACAACACACTTCGTAGCAGAAACTATATAGTATCAAATGGCTGATGATTAGTAAATAATGTATTCAAAAGTCTTGGTGCTTGTCACCTTATTAGAGATACTAAGTCCAGTCAACATCTGCCTAGTGGTACTGTGAAAAACCATGAGAAAACCTAAGACAGAGTAGCCAGATGTTCCAGCGGAGATTCATGAACACAAGAACCCAGTTCCCTTTTTTTAGTTTGAACTGTGCAAGTAACACGAGTCTGTACTTACGGTACGATCGGGTGTGTTTAGCTCTTCTTGTAGCAGTTCAATAATTTTTTGTGCTGATCTGAGTTCTATTTTAAATTTATGACAAGCACTTGTTACCTCACTTCTTTCACTACTACCATTGATGAAAACTTGAATGTCATCAGCATTAACCACGGAACGAACTGCCATTTTGGATATCAATAAGAGTGATGATCGAGGAATCGATCTCTCGGGAATTTCTTATGCAGGCCCATAGGGTTGTGAGATGTTGAGGCTCTCACATTTTCTAGCTAATCAGCTCACAGATGGCGGTGAGTTTGTCAGCCTTATGTGCCAGCCACCCTTCACTCCCAGGAATATTCCTGGTACTCATTTCTGTTCGAGGCTGAGTCGACCCCAGGGCCATAGTACGGCTGGAAGGATTAGGTAAATAGAAAAAAAACACCTCATCTGGATCTGATCCTGTGACCTTCTGGCTTGTAGCAGAGTGCCTCAACCAACTATGCTACCAGGAGGGAAATATTGTACAACATTCTCTTAAAGTTTGGAGTACCCATGAAACAAGTTAGGCTGATTAAAATGTGTTTAAATGAAATGTACAGTAAAGTACATATAGGTAAACATTTGTCTGATAACTTCCCTATCCAGAATGGTCTAAAACAAGGAGATGCTTTATTGCCACCCATTTTCAACTTTGCTTTAGAATATATTATATGAAGGTCCAGGAAAACTAGGTGGGACTGAAATTAAATGGGACACATCAGCTGTCGGTCTATGCTGATGATGTGAATCTACTGGGTGATAATATTGTCGCGTGTCGGGGGTATGACGCGACAAATAAATTCTCGATGTATTCGATGCAGCGAAATTTATTTCACNAATATAGATAACATAAAGAGAAACACATAAACTTTAATTGATGCAAGTAAGGAGGATGGTCTAGAAGTAAACACAGGGAAAACTATGTAGATGTTGCTGTCTCATCACCAAAATGCAGGGCAAAATCATTACATAAAGATAGGTAACAGATGTTTTGAAAATGTGGCACAGTTCAGATATTGGAAATGACTATAACAAATCAAAACCTGATGTAAGAGGAAATTAAGAGGAAACTGAACTCGGGTAATGCTTGCTACCATTCAGTCCAGAACCCTTTGTCTTTTCATCTGCTGTCACAAAACATAAAAATTAGAATATACGAGACTATAATTTTGCCTGTGGTCCTGTATGGGTGTGAAACTTGGTCTCTGACATTAAGGGAGGAACACAGACTGAGGGTGTTTGAGAACAGGGTGCTGAGGAGAACATTTGGACTGAAGAAAGCTGAAGTGATGGGAGGTTGGAGAAAACTGCATGAGGAGGAGCTTCATACCTTCTACTCTTCTCCAAGTATAATTATAATGATTAAGTCAAGGAGGATGAGATAGGCAGGGCATGTAGCATGAACAGGGAAGAAGAGGAATGCATACACAACACTGGTGGGAAAGGCAGAAGGAAAGATACCACTAGGAAGTTCAAAATGTAAGTGGGTGGACAATATTAAAAATGGATCTAAAGATAGTATGGGTTCGTATGGACAGGATCGATCTGGCTCAGGATAGGGACCAGTGGAGGGCTCTTTTGATCATAGTAATGAACCTTTGGGTTCCATAAAATGCTGGGAAGTTCTTGAGCACCTGCATAATTGGCGTCTTCTCAAGAAGGGCTCAGCTCCATGAATGAATTTTGAACANGGACAGGATCGATCTGGCTCAGGATAGGGACCAGTGGAGGGCTCTTTTGATCATAGTAATGAACCTTTGGGTTCCATAAAATGCTGGGAAGTTCTTGAGCACCTGCAGTCCCCATTTCTTCAAGCCAAGCTGTTCGATAAACTCATTCTCTTTCCGTGGCACTGGCAGGGTCACTAAACCATGGCCCGGGTGGCCCACCCGAGTAGGATTCCTTACTTTCATCATCATCATAATCACTGGCATGACAACCCTTTGTGAGCCCTGGCCTCCCTCAGGATTGCTCGCCATGCTTCTCTATTCGATGCTACATTCCTGCCACACATTCTTCCCATCTTAACCTTGGTTTTCCCACTCTATTTCCTTCTGGGATTCCTTACCTTATCCTCATGTAACCTGAGGAATCGAGTAGATCACAAAAAACACCAATACTCTGGATCTTCAAACTATTTATCTATTTTAATGATTACAAACTGTACATATATATTTATATTTGTATTGTACTATATTAACTATGTGACTGGTTTTATATCTATGTATATGGATTTATGGAATATACAATAAATGAATGAATGAATTAATGAATGAACAGGGACATGAACATTATACATGTTCCGACGTAACGTAACAATTGTTTACTAACTTGCAAAATCTTATGCCGACAAGTTTTTAAAATTTGATACTAACGCTATATATGCTACATAGTTACGAAATTTGATTTAATTATATTAAACACGTCCACCCCACTCCAACGACACACTACACAACCTACAAAACACAATTTCTCAAAATGGCTACCGCCATGGAATACCAACTACGCTGAATACCACGGATTTCTAATTTCTACGGATCCGTGCTACAGCTGTCCACGGATCAATTTTGCTATTTTTTTATTTCGAAAAATAAATATGTCCAATAAGGGGCTTGGCAATGCCCATCCGGCCCTCTGTAGCAGTCATCTAAACATCCTACTCTATCATAGCGGGCGCCCCGCGATATTTGAATATATCTCTTTAACTCTAATTAGAGAGTACTATTAATATTTTGTACGTTCGATCTTTTTTTTTTATTTTAATTTTGGGATTTTGTTTATGAAGTAACAATATTTAATTTTTGGTGCAAGATGAGTATAAAATTTGTATTTGTACGACAAAAAAACAAAGTTTTCAAATTAAGGGTGTGATAAATATTTTTACTGAAAAAATTAGTCTTCATATTGAGCAAAAGTACAAGACGCAAAAAAATGCAAGCTCAGTAATCACTAAACTTCCTTTTTCTAGTTTATATTTCTGTCCATCTTTTATCCTTAATTAATTTTTAACTCGCATTTTCAGCTGTCTTCTATGATACATCAGAACATACTCAAGTGCCATAATTTTCAGTCTCCTTCTGCCTTGGGATTTGGATAACACTTTTTAAAATGTCATGCTCTGCCACTGGAGCCAGGATAGCGTAGTCGGTACAGCAACTGGCTATGGGCTGGATCACCAAGGGGTTGGAGTTAGAATGCCAGTGGGGGCAAGAATTTTCTCTTCTCCGAGTTATCCAGACTGACTCTGGGTTTCACCCAACCTCCTATCCAATGGGTACTGGGAGCTCTCCTTTGGGGTAAAGCAGTAGGGGCGTGAAGCTGACCACTCACCTGCAACTAGTGCCAAGGTCAAGAAATGTCGAGCTATAAATCCAGGCCCTCCATACGCCTTCATGGCATAGTGCTTAATTAGTTAAGCACAGGGGAAACTTTACCTTTGCATGCTCTGCCACTGACAAGCACTGTATTTTGGTGGAAGAACTGTAGTGGTAGCAGTGAAGCAAAAACTGCTCCATGTGACAGATGATGTCACTGATTCCTGTGTAAGTACTGTAGGAACAGTATGATGCACTGACCATGAATAGCCTTGATACTGAATGTGTGTGCAACACCACACACTTTTGCTACTTATTCTTGTGAATGGTTAGAAATTACAGGGGAAATCAGAAGACCAGTTGATGTGAGATGAATTGTGCAGGGCATTGTCCTTCATGTCTGCTATTATACTTGTGTGGCAATTCCAGGACATAGTAGAGGGCCAGTTGTGGTGACATGAATTAAGTTGGACACTGTGTAATGTAAGTTTGATATACACACTCTTGGTTGGAAATTCCACAACAAATTAGGCAGCCAATTTTTGTCACATGAATAATTTACTTCTCTAATGTAAAATTTGTATGCACAATGTTGGAAAATTCCAGGAAAAATTAGAAAACGCCAGTTTGGATCACATCAATTATGCCTTACTTAGTCTGAAATAAGTTTGATATGCATAGTGTTCTGGGACAAGATATATATATATGCACACATATATCATCAGACGATTGATTGTTGACAGTTTCTTAATTACCTTTCCACAGTGTGGAGCTCAGCATAAAGTATGTTATGAATAGCTCATGTTTATGTTCTGGGCCCTCAGCAGATATAGTACCTTGGACAGGATGTAAGGTATCTTAAGAACATTTTCAGATAAATCTAGGTATAACCCAGTTATGTGAGGTGAACCACATGCACAGTACTTAATAAATCTACAATTCAGGGGCACATTTACTTTGGACTAAATGAGTACTCTCTGTACACAATCTATGAGAAACCAACGTAACATTCTCTAACATACTGGTTTCTCACAGTGAGGAGTTGATTAACCTCACAATTGACCCCAAGGTCAAAGGACAGTACTTAACTTCTGATGTCCATGACTGATTATTCAGTGTATTTGTAGCCACGCTCCTTTATCTACAATGCATAGTTAAATGTGAAAGACTTACTTTGATGGCACTGCTAATTGATTAAGAGACTTAATTTCTGTTATTTTGATAGCTGTATCAAAATTCATGTCATTACACATTTTAGAACTATTTTCAGGAAATACTGGTATCTTAAATATTTTTATGCTATGTTCAATGCATATAAAACATACATGTGTCTAACCTATTATACCTTTACCACATGTGGCTATAACAGTACCCATGGAATGGATGCAGTCCTGATTAAATTTCACCATTGACTTAGGGACAGCAGTTTTCTTTCATTTTAGAAGTCTTTATTACAAATACAGCAATAGGTACAATATTGTCCACAACCGATACAACTGACGATCCTTGAGAAAATGGTTACTTTTGGAGATTTTCAACCCTGCGATACAGCTGATGACTCATCATTTTTTCACTTGGAGTTGTTTGCTGAGAATGTAAGCTACACCTGTGACTGATGTATTTCATAAGTTCAAGACTTGTGACAAAAGTTGTCACTTCGGGTGCTCTTCATGTTTGAAAAGTTTACACATATAAACCTCCTTGTGAGTTTAGAAGTTTTACATAGCAGCAGAAACTTAGATTGTGGTCTTCTGATTTGCAACACCATGTAGTCCTGTCCATGACTGCCTTCATCAACAGGTTTCTCCAAAATATAGGTAAACACCTTCTGACTACATGTTATCATAACAAAGAAGACCATAATCCCTTTACTTGTGACTAAACTGATCACAGCAAAAATATAACCTGGGTAGGTCACACTGGAATGTGCAGTTTTACATTAAGCCTGGAATTATCTCCTGCCTAGCCAACAAAATTTAAGAGGCACAGTTTCAGTCTTTGAACACTATGTTTTCTATAACCATAAGAGTCAGCTTCTCAACACAGCATCTCCATGTACACATGAGACTACCAAGCATCAGCCATATAACATTTCCTTTGGATGGTACTTGGGCTATATGACTTTTATATGCTGCAACTACTGTAAGAGGTATTCTGACCTACTTGATGTCAGATACTACTATATCAACTATCACCATCATACTTCCGCTGTTTCATTTTCTGCGAAGAATACTAACAGATGAATTATTTACCAATCACTCTGTACTATGGAAGACGCAGTTTATCTGTATTTGATAACAATAATATTCCAAATTAAAACAAATATTTAACTTAAACAAAGCTGACAGTGAGTTTTACTAAAAGTAATGTACTTCAGTAAATAAATTGTGTATAAAAAATTGTACAAGACCACATGCTTATCCCACAATCAGAAAAATAATGGCACTGATTCCTATCTGCTGCACAAAGCTTTACAAAATATTTGTATGTCATAAAATGGAATGATACCTCTCTTTTTTGTTTTGAACATTCTTTTCAAACAGGACTTCTTCCAGCCACATGCTAGACAAGAATGGACAGAGACAAACATTCCTCTAAGCGGTATCCGGGTTCCATAATTACATGAAAATAAAAACAGAAACGATACACAAGATCATGCCAGTTCACAGTGGTATGCACTGCTTGTGTTCTTGCACTAAAATACGTTAATATATGCAGAGCTCAAAGCTGTGGCACTGCACGTTCTTGCATTCCCCATTCTTACTTCATTATCATTACAGATCCTCATAATGATTGCTCTGTTTCTCCCTGTACACTTCTCTTTAATATACATGATCAGGTCTTCACTTCCACTTCCTTAGATTACTAGCTGTCCTTTATTTGCAGTAGCTTCCTCCATAGCTATTCAGCTGTGGAAATGGAGTGACTGTATCTCCTAAGTATTATATTGGTCCCAGACAGAGAGACAATATGACTCCCCTGCTTGAAAGCTATGCCAACTTACATGCTGTCGGACAATGGGAGGAATATTACATATCTTTTTAATATAAAAAGTATCACAGTCAAAAGTCTCAATCGCAAGGCAGCATGCTTCAAGAGAAATTGTTGTGATGATGGAGTCTGTATTCTAACACTCGTAACAAACAACTTCATTATGAAGACTGGTTTCTGCCTTCAACAAAAAGTCATCCCTAACATCCCAATAACTCTGAATTATATCTTTTGTTCATTATATAACATTGGAGGTAGCCTATTAGACCCAGGTAAATTTGACCCCTTTGTCTCACCAATCAATCTGTTTTATACAAATGGAACTTGGTTCAGCATTCTTCACATTGGAAAAATAATATGCAAGTTTATACATAAACAGAATCTTTATATCCCTGTAATTATCTCAGCTATTCAACCTGAGACATAATCCTTCCAGCTGCTCTATGGCCCTCGGGTCAACTCAGCCTCCAAAAGAAATGAGTACCAGAAATCTTCCTGGGGATAAATGGCGGCTGGTGCGTAAGGCTGACAAGCTCACCACCATCTGTGAGCCAACTGTCTAGAAAATGTGGGAGCCTCAACATCTCATAACCCTGTGGGTCTCCACAGCCTGTTACAGGGATATCTTTATCTCACCTTTTATTCAACTTGAAGATGGAAAAGTACTACCTATGTTAGAAGTGTCTGTGTACAACCCTGACATTGTAAACAATGTTGCAATTAAACCACAATTAACTGGATCATTTCAAGTACTTCTAGTACAATAAACGTTCTCTGGAAAGCCACACTTGTCACATGTTGAAGTGTAATAAATTTCAGTTACAAGAGTACCATTTTGTAACAATAACAGATGACTGATGTTTACAATATGATAGATCTATTAATTTCTATCTGCACACCACCTTGCTTGAGAGCATTCTTTTTTTTTTCTTTTTGAGATTTAAGAACTTATCCTAATAAACATTCATGCAATATCCATGCACTCTGACTTTAAAACATAAAATTATAATTTTTATATAAAATAATATACAAGCCACAACAATGGCACAGTAAGACTTGTGAGATTTGAAGTTCTGGGGCAGTGAGCATTAAGATTACAGTTTACAGTCTTCAGGGTGAAGATTGTGACAGCAGGTTCCTCAAAAACACTGACACTTATCTATCAAACTAAATGTCACATCCCAGAGAACTGTAATCTTAATATGTCTCATTTACCTTATAATTTGATTTTAGCAAAACTCCTGAT